CAGGTCTGAGGAGATGTGGACACCAAGATACTTGAAGGATGAAGAATGTGGAGGACTGCATGGGAAGATCCGAGAAGACATGAGGGTCTACTCGGATGTTTGCATACTGTATATTTTTTATGATCAGTACTTGTTCACAGAAACAAATAAATGCTGTTATTAGAGCATGTTTCTACCAGCAATTCCTTACATTTTTTATCTTTTAACCAGGTACACTCTCAGAACAGCATTCAGGTCAGATGACCAGATGTGTCTGGTCGCACAGAGTAGCAGATTAAAGCACTGATGAGATCTTATCTCTGCTGTACCTGCACCTAAACTTTGGAACAAACCAGAAGCTCATAGTCAAGCTCATATTCAACACATGTTAAAAACATGTTCACTCTCAACCTCCACTCAGCCTCCATCTCACGATATTATATGCAGGATTCTGAAGGCGCAAAAAGGGATACCCACAGTCCCTGGTGGTCTAGTGGTTAGGATTCGGCGCTCTCACCGCCGCGGCCCGGGTTCGATTCCCGGTCAGGGAACTAATTTTGAAAATGTAAGGTCGATGAAAGTTCTGTTAATTCCTACCCTGCATCAACCCTCCTGCTAAAATCCCGACCTATTGCACTAACCAGATGTTGATTTCCAGAAATGTCTCTCTGTCATAGCTTTGAAAACATGCTCGTATTGTGTCTAATTACAGTATTTTAATAAATTAGTGGTTATTAGCAAAACCCGTTGTTATACGGGTTTTGTCTAATAGTGCGCCTCTTCCCTGCTCTGGCCTCTCTTTAATCTTCGCTGCTGCATGCTCGGTCTTGTTGCTCACTGACGTACTGCAGCAGGCTGATTCACTCAACATGATGTCATTCCATATGTCCTCCCTTCTGTCCGGTGTTTACCTGCGTCAAGATGCGCAACGACAGCGGAACTTAAACTACTTCAACTTTCACAATAAAGGTTTTTCTTACAAAATCAAGGCTAAATATTTCTATTTGCCTGATAAGATCTTAACTTAAACTTAATACAGTGCTGCCACATAGTGTGAAATGATTCTTATTAGTTTTTATGGCTGGTTGATATTGTAAACAAAAAAAAAAGATTGCTAAAGAAAAAGAACTGTGAAGCCAAACGAGAGCCTAGCTATGGTTTTGTGGGGCCTTAAATAGAATTTGACATCACCCAAGCTGACCACCTCTTGATTGAATTGAAGGTTTGTTTGATGATTCTGTTGATCTTATATTACTGATAAGTATTTATGGAAACATTACTTCACGCTTCTCTCTTTTCTTTTCAGCCCCAGAGGGATAAATCCTTTTGGTAATAGAATAGAATAAAATAGATCTTTGTAGTCACTGTTACAAGAAAAATGAAACATAGTTTGGCATTCTCTGTTGGCACCATGTAGATTTACATTCAGATTGTTTTAGCATAGGAGAAGAGATAAAAATAGACATAAGTTTAAGGGCACCTTCTCAGGGAATGTGTGTAACACACAATAACGTTAGTATCTACACAGTAACACACACACACACACACACACACACACGCAAACAAATCTACTTGCAAGTACAGTGTGCATGAATGTGATTCCAGGTCTGACAGTGAAAATGATAACATCAGTAGCATTAAGTTGTCGGTCTATTAACACACTTATGATTAATATTTTGAAAATATTTAATAATATGCTGACAAAAACACAGGCGCTGGAGGTGGTGGAATTGAAGATGTTAACACGTCAATTGGGCGTGACCAGGACGGACAATATTATAAATGAGTACATCAGAGGGAGACTTTGAAGTGAGTGGTTTGGAGACTGCATTGATTGGCGCCGAAGGTTAATGCTTTTACTTTTGAAGGACACCGGAAGCTATGTGTTCCGCCGCAGTTAGCCTGATGTTTTCTCAGTCGGGGAGTTCACACACAACTACTTGGCAGAGGAATGCAGCACTCGTAGCCAGCCGTACTGTAAGTATCTGTAGTAGAAATCCCTTCACTTTTGTGTGACTAAATATATGCGTTGTTGTCAGTATTTGAGTTACTATGAATCCTTTTCTTTGTCTTTATTAAGCGCTGTGTTTCTACGGGACGCTAATGTTAGCTTCACAGCTAAGCTAGCTGGTTTCCGTCGTCGGGATTCCCTTTATTTCTTTCCTTAAATTCTTTAATCAGTGTTCAGATTGTAATAAGTTAACACGACGATCCCGTTTCACGAGTTTACCTTTGTGTTTGCTTTAAATAGGTCTTCCTTTGTGCCGTTTTTCTTTTATGATGGAAAAGTGCAATATAAACGTCGCAATTTAGCATCTTTTTAAAGTCATTATCTGTGTATTGTCAGTTAAACATTGATTCATTTGGCTCGTAGTTTGTTATCTAGCCAGTGAAAGGTAACATAGTTGGTTGTGTAGTCCCTTTAATTGAGTCGGAGAGCTGATCCTGGGAAGGACATGATGTAGTAGGACTGGTATGCAGAGGTCTGACATCAGCTAAAAAGTCTCCAAAGCAGCGTTGACTCCAAATAAGGATGAAGAAGCCCTAAAGTGCTAACACTGTCTTATCACTTCCTCCATACTCTGTACTCTGTGGTGTCTGTGGCCTCTGTGTCACATATCCACGTTTAAGTTATTTTTTTATTTTTTGGCTGCAGGAAATCTGAAGGCGTTACTCCCATCATCATCATCGTAAGAGTCAGCACACCATGGCTGGCTTCAGGCAAGAGGATGTTGAGTTGTACTACGAGATGGGAGAGGAGCTGGGGAGGTAAGCTTTGTGGGCCTGTTTTAAAACGTTTAATTGAAAGCATTATATGTGAAAACCCTGCTTTCTTCTTCATTGCTGTCCTATCCAGCCGTTGTGCTGTGTGCTTCAGTTCATCTGAAAGTGTAAGAACACTTTTTTTTGCATTTGTAAGACACATTTTTTAAGTTGTGTAAGCGATGAGTTTTCAGCTTATCAATGCTTTCCATAATTAAAAACAGATCTAAATGTGAAATGCTGCTTGAGATGGATTTTAATGCCAGTTTGGGACTGATCTGAACAGGGCTAGATATTTAATATGTGTGAGCAGCACTGTATTAAATGTCATCTTTAATTATTTTCTGCTGTGCTGGATAGTTTGTGAATGAGTCATCACATTTTTGGAGATGAAACACAACTTTCTGGCTTACCTTTTTTTTCTGCAGTAATGCAGCAAAAGTGTGACGTCACTGCCTCTCAATGTGCCCTTGCACCTCTGCTGTAGTGTAAGAGAGGGGATGGTGTGTGTGTGCAGATACTAAATGGATCTAAACCACACTGTTTTATTTACAAATGTCTGTTTTATTCTATGTGGAATAAAACAGAATTTTCTTGTTTTTAGTTGTGTTAATGATTGTTTTGTTGTGCTGACAACACACTGTTTTGCTTTCTTGAGCTTCAGTCAGAGATTTTAACTTCTGTTTGGATAACAGACATTTAATTTAATTCTGGATGGAGCACTTTCAGTGGCAGAAACTTTTTGTCACTCATCCAAGTAACTTCTTCAGTTCAGTCTCTGCTGACTGCAGATTGCAGTACCACTGATTAACAATGGGCTGTGAGGTCAGTTTCATGATCATTGATCAATGCCCAAGAGTACCTTTGTTAGGACGGTGTTCTCTCTGTGTTGTAGTGTCCTGATGACACATTTGTGCTCTAGTGGATGATGAGAGTCAAAACCTTAAATGCTGATCCGTGTGCGTTGGTTTACGGTACACGTCGACTTTTAACTGTGCCCCATTACTGATGGAAATTTCACAGTCTAAGAAGGCTAGCACAGCACAGTTGGATCAGGCTTAAGCAGTATTTACACTTGTAGGCCAGTGGCCAGTGACTCTTTCAATGATGAGGATGTACACATCCTGGACAGGGAACATTTATGTGAAAATGGAAAGACCATCTCGGAATTGAGGAAGGAGCTCAGGGTACATCTTTCACCATGTTACAATGCTGTGATTGCAGGCCATTGATCAGTGGCCATGATAATATGCACATCAATGATCATGAAACAATTGTTAATCAGTGGTGCTAGTTTTGATCATCATCATGTGCAAACCGCACATGATGATGAATGTGAATTTTGGCTCATGCTTCTTCACTATGTTGCTTTAGTTTATTGAGACATTGGACATTCATTTATCAAAGCTGTCTTGAGGTCTTTTCACAGCATTTCAGTCTGGTTGAGATGTCAGTTTTAATTTACTGTGGCAACACCTTCATTTTTTTTCAGTCATTCTGTTGGAGATTTGTTGCTGTGCTTGGGGCCATGTCCTGCTCCATGACCCAGTTTCAGCCAAGCTTTAGCTGTTGGACAGATGGCCTCACATTTGACTCTAGAATACGTTGGTATACAGAGGAGTTTGTGGTTAAGTCACTGACTGCAAGGTGCCCGTGTCCTGTGGCTGCATTACAAGGCTGGATAATCACCCCTCCACCACAGTGTCTGACAGTTGATGTGTTGTGTTTGATTTTGCTATATGTTGGTGTGCATTATAGCCAGATATCTCCACTTTGGTCTTGTATGTCCAAAGCAGATTGTTTCTGAAGTCCTGTGGTTTGTTCAGATGCAATTTTGCAAACCTAAGTTTTGCTGCCATGTTTTTGTTTTTTTTCCCCCAAAATATTTAACAAACTTTAACATTTAACATGTTAACTGAGCTCTCTAGAGTCTGAGATGTAGTTCTTGGGTGTGTTTTGCAGTTTACTTGAGCGTTGAATGGTCTGATGTTAGGGTGAATTTGCTAGGATCTAAACTTCTGGGATGACTTAATCCTAAAGATCAGCAAACTCCCAAAACGTCTGCTTTTATAGAGGTCCTCACACTTACTGTTGATTGGTTGATCAAGTACATTTGATGACCCTCTTAATTCCTATCGAAGCAGAAAGGGTGTGCTTTGTTTGCCATAGGACTAGGGCTGCCACGATTAGTCAACTAGTCACGATTCCGTCGACTATTAAAATCGTCGCTGACTAATTTAATAGTCGACGCGTCGTTTGAAGCTTTGTAAGATCCCAAAAGGCGCAGGAATAAGTAGTAGAATTTAAGAGCCACCATTCTCCCGAATTTCCACCCGGACAACAAAATTGAAAAACCATATCGCAGAATTCATAGCGCGGCCCAGCCAATTCGTTTTCAACAATGGCGGCAGCTACTTAGTTTTAATATCACTCTTATTTCTCTTTTAACATATTTTCAGGTGAGAATGTAGCCATGTAAACTTCAAATATCTGAGCCGACCGACACATCGTTTTCAAACCCCCGCGGTCTTTCACTACTCGGGTTAAACATGATATACAAGTCACTTTGATAACTTAAAAATGTTATTGTTTGGCTTTTTCAGTGTTTTATTTGTTCGTGAGTAAATCGGTTTGACTGAGATTAAAGTTATTAGATTAGATTAAATTAAATTTAACTTTATTAATCCCTCGGGAGGGTTCCTCCGGGGTTTTTACACAGCTGAATAAACATGAAGCAGAAAACTAATTAAAGAAAGTGTGAGACGGTCGAGAGTTTATGCCAGAGCCCGGTTATATTCTAGATAGCAAGGAGCAGACGGCAGAGTTTCACTCCACCGAGGGAGCTCGTGCCGTACTACCCGGCTTTCTTTAGACCGCGAAGGCCGGGTCCTCAGGTGGAAGCAGCCTCTGAATTTGGACACCCCCGCTGTTTCTGGGCCGGTGTTCTGGGAATCCATCCTACCTGACAAACCATCCTACCCGTTGTTTCTGCGCATGCGCACAACACGAAATTAAGTGGCGAACCATCCTACCTTTGTGAATGTGACCTACAACCATACTTTAACAGCTAAATTTAGTGGAAAATTGTCCTACCTTTGTGAATATGAGCCAGAAGCATACTTTAACGGCTAAAATTAAGTGGCAAATCATCCTACCTTTGTTAATAAGAGCTAGAAACATACTCTGACGGGTGAAATTAAGTGCCAAACCATGCTACCTTTGTGAATGTTACCTATAAGCATACTTTAACGGGTAAAATGAAGTGGCAAACCACCCTGGCTTTAAGAATATAAGCTACAAGCATACTCTGATGGGCAACATTAAGTGGCAAACCGTCATACCTACTTAAATTTGTGCTGGAATTACTCTGTGACTGCAGAAATGTGCATAAACTACCTACGGTAGTTTAACCAACCATGCCAACCATAAACTACCACAACACCTCACTCTTGGAGCACTTTTTTGCCACATGTATCACAAACCACGTCTCAGCTGTTTGTGGAAGTAAAATACGTCTGCACAATTATGCTCAGCCATTGTTGTGAGTGCGCACACCAAGGCGCTGCGAGACATTTATACAGCCGTATTTCGCACATGACTATGAAAGGCGGAAGAGGAAGTAGTTCCTTTGAATGTAGACAATCTGAATGTTATAGTTTCTTTCCACTGTGTTCCTGTTAATGATAAACTATAAATTTACCCTAAATTACTAAAAAATATCGATATTTTAATGTGAGAATCGATTCTAGAACATAAATGATTGGTATCAGAGGAATCAATATTTCAGGATCGATCCGCACATCACTACTGCTCAGGTGTCAACAATGGCGGCAGCTAGTTAGTGTTAATATTACTCTTATTATTCTTTCTGGGTCACAAAATAAACGTTTAACATATTTTCAGGCGAAAATATGTTAAAAATATGTCATCTGTGTAAACTTCAAATATCTGCTCAGTTTATCAAGACATCACATATTTTCAAAAGCGCTCCGACGTGGGTAACAGACGTCTCACCAGCTCGATAGCTAGCCGGAGTTCAAGGCTCACTAGAGCCTGTGAGAACACCGGACTCCCGGCAAATCGTTTTCAAACCCACCGCTGTCTTTCGCTACTCAGGTTAAATATATATAAGTCACTTAGACAACTTAAATATGTTATTGTTTGGCTTTTTTTTAGTATTTTATTTGTTCCTGAGTAAATCGGTTTGGCTGAGATTAAAGTTATAGTTTTTACACAGCTGAATAAACGTCAAGCAGACAGCTGATTATCAGCTGTCTGCTCTGTGTAACACTAGATACAACTGAGGTTATTAGCTAACAGCATTTAGAGGTCTTTGCTGATAAATATCTATGATGATAGACAGACATGCAGTGCCTTCTGCTTAAGAAACATTTTTTTTTTCCCCATCACAACATGAGGTAGGAGAACATTGCGTTGACATCTCTCTGATCTTTCCTCTCTGCAGCGGACAGTTTGCCATCGTCCGTAAGTGCAAGGAGAAGAGCACAGGCATCGAGTACGCAGCCAAGTTTATCAAGAAGCGGCGGCTGTCGTCCAGCCGGCGGGGGGTGAGCCGCGAAGAGATCGAGCGCGAGGTCAACATCCTGCGCGAGATCCAGCACAGCAACATCATCACCCTGCATGACATCTTTGAAAACAAGACGGATGTGATCCTGATCCTGGAGCTGGTGTCTGGAGGAGAGCTGTTCGACTTCCTGGCAGAGAAAGAATCTCTGACTGAGGAGGAGGCCACGCAGTTTCTCAAGCAGATCTTGGATGGCGTTCAGTATCTCCACTCCAAACGCATCGCTCACTTCGACCTCAAGGTCAGCACTGAGGGGAAACTTGAAATATAAATATAAATATAAACTCTTATACAGCGGTGGTAGATGACATGTTGGTGAGAGCAGACAAACACGGCTGCCCTGATTCTTTTGGGCTAAAAACATGCTAAAATATATTTTGGGCTAAATATCTTAACATTAATGAAATCATTATTTTAAGGGAGGACTACTCTCAATGGGGTTAATGTACTAATCTAATTTTTGATAGCTAAAAGTTAGACATAAGCTTCTAATAAAGGAAAAGACTACTAATCTTTATCAATAAAGATACGGTGACCAACGCCTTTAAACTGTACTGCAACATTTAACTTCACGAGGATAGAATAAAAATCGTATAATAGGATTATTTCTGTATTATTTTAGTTGGTGGATGATGGCATGTACAGGAGCAAAGCTTATTTTTATGGACTTGTATGCAAGCTGCTGACAGTGGTGATAAAATGCAAGTGTCACGGTTCAAAAGCTCAAGTAGAAAATGCTGCTTTGTCAGTGTCTAATGTCATCGACTCGCCCTCCTCCTCCTTTCAGTGATATAGTTTTTTTTTTCTCCATTTGTTTTTATTTTTATTTTTTATCTTTCAGCCTGAGAATATCATGCTGCTGGACAAGAATGTCCCCAACCCCAGGATCAAGCTGATAGATTTTGGGATCGCTCATCAGATCAAAGCAGGAAACGAGTTCAAGAACATCTTTGGAACACCAGAGTTTGTTGGTGAGAGCCTGTGGCCTCCTAAATATTCACTTCCAGCCTTGTGCCAGATTGTTTCCATGCAGTGAGTCAGACCCTGTGAGAGGGTGATCGTGGCTTCAGATTACATCTGCTTTGAATTAAAGGGCTCATTCCTGTGTTTTACAGCACCAGAAATAGTCAACTATGAGCCACTTGGACTGGAGGCAGACATGTGGTAAGATACCAACCTGTTTTGTTTTTGTTTTTTTTT